GATAAAGTGTGTCAGAAATATGTCTGAATTAAAATTTTAATATTAGCTATAAGTATTTCTAACTGATCAAATGAGTTTATTTCGAACAAATTTTTTTGCACTCACTTTTATATGATTTCTTTATTATTAAAAATTTTTTATCAAATAAGTATTATAAAATTCACAATAATTTTTTTTAGTATTGTTATTTATGAAAAAATTATATGAAAATTGATAAATAAACGATAGAAATAGATAGTTTGCCATGATATAAATACTATTTTGAAAACCCTTAATAGAAGGTATTTAAAATTTGATCAATATACTTTTTAAAATTGTGAGTGCTAAATTAAGCTATTGACGAATGATGTTAGGAAATCGAGTTACTTACCAGTATATGATTCAATAAACCGGTTGAGGCTCGATCTGGCGTCTTCGACTGGTTCTAAATAGATAATAAACGCCCATGATTTGGATTTAATATCTAAAAAAGTGTATTTGCATTCATTCAATAAAAAATTATGTAAATATTTTACCTATAACTTGAGGTGTATATCTACGATCTCGATATTGTAATGAAGTTGTTGGTAATGTTGGAATCATTTCATCTGCTTTAAAAAAAGCATCTTTAATTTTAAGCTGTCTATCATTAAGTTTTTCTGGATTTGTATCAAGAATTATCTCCCACTCCTGCAAAATATTGTAAACGTCTAATGCAGTTGGTCTGTTTTTTGGATTTTCATCCATACATTTATTTGCAAGCTTTATATAGCAATCAGGTGTTCCCAAAGCAAACCCTGGTCGTGATCCCTTTTCTATTATGTCCCAAATTAAATTGTAGTTCCAGTTCCTGTTTACGAAGGGTAGTTGTCCTGTTGAAATTTCAGACATTATTACTCCAAAACTATAAATATCTGAAAATTGAGTGTATGGCTTTTTTTCAAAAACCTCAGGCGCTAAATAAGGTATTACACCATACTTATTTATTTCAGATTCATTTGTTTTTCTAGCCAACCCTAAATCAGAAATTTTTGGTTCTATGCTGATATTATCACCGGCTTTACTTGGAAGCATTACTACGTTGTCTTCCAAATTAAATACGTAAGGCACAAAATCGTTTATACTAAACATAAGTATATTGCCACTATGAAAATCTCTATGTACGTAATCTTGATGAATATGAAATAGATTGTCTGATATGGAACGAAGAACCTTTATTTTGTGTTTCCAATTAAGAGTTCTAAAATTTTCCTTTAAATAATTTCGAAGGTCTCCTTTATCTGCATATTCTAAGACCATCATATATTCATTTTTTAGAGGGTCATATATTATTCCATATGTTTCTATTCCATATTTTTCTACACTATATTTACTGAGTTGGCATTCATAATGTGATTTAAACTTAAAATTAAAGATGCTTTTTTTAAAGCAGATGAAATGATTCCAACTACCTCACAAAAACACGATAACATGATGTATATTTCTAAACTTATTGATACGAGAGAAATCGTTTTAGAGTC